AGACGAGAATGCCAGAGACTGATGGATGGGGTAGATGAGACTGGGGCTGCTGCCTGAACTGATGAGGATAAACAGGATGGAAGGTGAAGATTGATGAGCTCAAAGAGTCGTCCAACCTTACGGCCTATCCCAAGAGTTTGTCCTGTCTTTGGATCCTGCACACAACAACCAGAAGCAAAAAAGATGGCAGTTAGACCGAAGTCACATAATTGACCAACAGATATAAGAATGAGAGTGAGTTGGGAAATACAATAAGTATCAAGAAGTGAAGTGTTTAATGGTGAGATTTTTTCGATATGACTCACGGTCATAGAAGAACCATCAGCAGTTTGAATAGTCAGAGTATGATTAGTAAGACGTTTGGTGGCAAATATAGTGGAATCAGGTGTCATGTGATTACAACATGCAGAGTCAGAGAACCAAGATGAATTACCTGAGGTGACTGACATAATAGTCGAGGGTAAATTACCAGAATGAGCAAGGACTTGTTTGACAATTTTCTCTATGTCAGAAACAGAAAACGTCTCACAGGTAGTAGTGGATGATGAACCTTCAGAGGTAGTGGCGGCAGATCTAGAAGAAGTACTACGAGACATGTGTTATTGGGAGTGTCTGTTGGGGTTTTGGAAACAATCACGCTGAAGATGACCAGGGGCTTGCTTCTGATAGAATTGGCAGACTCGAACCGGGCATTCCAAGAGAATGTGTCCTGGTTTCTTGCAGTAATTGTAGACTCTTGAAGATCCAGATGGATGCCCTTTGTTGTTGGGTTGAAAAGATCGAGATGGATGTATTTTGTTGCTGGGTTGAGGTCCTCTAGGAGTGGCGAAGACAACATCTGTAGAGATAGTCTTGCGAGGGGCAAGACGAGTTTCCTTCGAAAGAAGTTCAGTAACAGCTTGATCTAAAGTAGGTAAAGGACTGCGGTGAAGGAGAGATGCACGAACATGCTCAAACTCATTAGTGAGGGCCATGAAAAAGAGAACCAAGTGTTGCTAATCTCGATAGTTAAATTTTTTTTTTAGCATTGTTGGCATCTGTAAACTCTGGTTCTGAGGAAGCAAGTTGATCCCAAACATAGTGCATTTCAGATAAGAAATTATTAATGGATTGCTCAGGCTGTTGTTGCATACGATGTAGAGTGCCTAGAAGTTGGTATTGATGAGACAGATCTGCGGTGGTATAGCGTTTCTGTAGACAATCCCATAGTGACTTGGCAGTCTTGAATCTACCAAACTGGAGACTGATGGAGCGTACGCATGTGTTGCAAATCCAAGTGATAATTTGGTGATTTTTGCTATCCTGGCTGAGATGATGTCGATGGAGAATAAGACTCCGACTATAGCGACGACCTAACAAGCATGAAAATGATATACAGGAGGTTTTTCTGATGTGAAGGATCCACTAATAGTGGTAATCACAGAGCATACTCAACTCTTGATATATCGAGAACACTAAGAATAGTAGCTCTGATACCAAGTTGAATTTAAGAGAGAAAATAAGACAACACAAAGAGAAGAGAATTGTATTGAATAGTGTGATTTGTTTATAAGAGAGGTATTATATTTATAGCCTAATTTGAGAGGAATGTTTTCCTTTCTAACCAATGTGCGACTAACATACATTTACATTGTATATACATTAACACGATGAAATGGATCAACATATTGATGCAACTTGAGGGATGATGATGAGGCATGAGGGTGTACGATGCACCCAAGTCCATCCCGTATGTGATTGGCTCCAATTGATTAGGAGGTACTTGTGACTGTGCCAGGTGGTAAAAAAGTGCAAAATCAACCACATCAGTGGTGTTACCATGCGAAAGAATTCATATTGGTCTTGGTTTTTAAGGGTGCTGACTTTTAAGGAATTAAAATGAAGAACCGCCTACTGACTACATGGTTTTATTACAACTATGAACAGAAAAGAGCGAAATAAATTAGCTATAGTGACGGTTGTCATCGAAAAGTTTAATCTGTTATCGGCAAATAATAATCTTGGATCTTGCACAATATTGTTTGATTTCCTTCTATATATTTTCTTCCTTTGGGAAGATTGATATCTATTACTAACTACAAATTGTTCTCGTGTTGATTGTAATGTTTGATGTGTTGGATTAAATAGTACCTGAAAAAAGACTATTAATATTACAAAATACATTTTTGTCTCTCCTCTTTTCAATCACACATTATTAAATAGTATAATAATACATACAAATCTAAAAAAATTTCTTATTTTTTAACAACACATTCTCCATCAATTTACTATTTTAAAATGTATCTAAAGAATTCAATAAACTAAAAAGAAACACAAAGAATTACGTGATTCGACGCCAGTATAGCAACCTACATCCACGGAAGAAGAGAGAGTTTGTATATTATTCATTTATGTTTGGAGCTTATAATGAAACATATATAGTCGCATTACATTAAAGTTGCCTTATTAAGGATAAGGCAATCAAGGAAAGAAAATAAAGAATTATGGAAATCTTCCAAATCGTGATTGCGCCATAATATTCTCCAATATTAGCAAATCCTTCAAATATCATCAAATATCTCTCTTTTCCAACAACATCCTTAAGAAATAATGGGGCTCAAACGTGCTCATAATTTCATGTTTCTAAATTGCTGCAGCACAAGGCCAGTTCAGTAAAACTGGACAGCCATATTTCGTTTGCAGTAATAGACAATTATATCATCAATTTTAGGGGAGATTTTTCTATTTGACCTATCACTATTCATTTTTATGGAAAGACCTATATTGTTCTTAATGAAATGATTCTTTCTATATTGCAACATATATCCTAATCTTTTAATCATTTTATCTTCTATTTACTCTATTTTGGATATTTGAATAAAAAATCATTCTATGATCTAATAAATTAGAATAATCTGCAATATACGTATCATATTTTTTTAATAAAATACCATATTCTTCAAATGGTAAATTTATATCTTTTAATTGAGATATAATATTCTTTATTTCTTCTAACATTCTTTCTAATAAATTATCTAATCCTTCAATTGTATATCCTGACATTTATCAAAATAATTATCAAACAATTGTTCCTGCGATTCTTTTGAGATCTTAAAAAGATTCATTCTAATTTTAGCAAAAGTTTAAGAGTTTTACCTTAGGTTTGATCTAGACCTGTATTCTTATAACCGAGTGACTTTCAAACTCTAAATTTGTAAACTGCTTCCTTCAATGGCCTCCTGCCTTCCCGGAATTGTTACTATTTCTGCTACTTGCTCTCACTGTATCAAATTCTAAAGAATAATATTCTAGTCTTCTATTAAAGAAAACTCTCTTTTTGCTAAAATAAGAAGAAAACTTTTTATTAGATTCTTCAAGAATCTATGTGAAAAAGATTTAGAAACTCATATTGATATTAAAATATTGAAATTTTATTTCTATCAGGATTTATACAAGATTTCTATTTGGTACAATGGGATTTCCAGAAAAACTGGTTTTTCAAACTGAGAATAACCTATTGCTTACAACTCGAGAATTTAAGATAATATGAGATGATTTTCTTCTATGGTAATATCTCTATTTATACAAGGTTATGA